TGTGCATGTCGAAATGCCAATACCGTTAATAGGACCCAATTCACAAATGCATGTATCCCCACAGGGTTATAATCCTGGGCCGAATGGCATGGGTTTTGTTATGCAAGACCCGTATCAGCATATAGGAACAAGTCAGGAGGGTTCTTTGATTCGACCAGGGAGTTATGTACCTACGGGTATTAGTAACCAAGCCATGATGGCTCTTCGACAACAAATGGACCACAGTAATCATGACATGGTCAATTTGTTGTCGACACAAATGCATAATATTATGACTCCTCTGTATGAATTGATAAATAAAATTGGAGATAAATTAGGAGAGGGGTCACCTTCGAGAGCCATGAGTGGAAATCTGAATGAGATGGAAAATCCTGGGGGGCATGAGAATTTTCATCAGAATGTAGTTCGACCTAATAGAAACCCACAGGATAACTTAGACCAAATGGTAGAGAGGATACTTAATAGACATGGATTCGATGTGGGTCGAAATGAACGCCCCTACTTTGTGTCAGCTTTCCCAGATTATATAACTCAAGTAGAATTACCCCGAGGAATAAAAGTACCGAAGTTTTCAAAATTCGCGGGAGAGTTAACTGAGTCAACAGTCGAACACATAGCTAGGTATGGGGTCGAATGTGGGGATTTGGCAAACAATGAGTATTTAAAAATGAAATATTTTCCAAGTTCATTGACTAAGCATGCCTTTACATGGTTCACAACCCTGCCCCCTAATTCGATACACACTTGGGTTCAGTTAGAAGGTAGTTTCCATGAACATTTCTTCCGAGAAGAAACGAAAGTGAGTATAGTTGATTTAATGAACATTAAGAGGGAAAGCCAGGAAACTTTAGATGATTATTTAAATAGGTTCAGGCAATTGAAATCGCGATGTTATACTAATATACCTGAACATGAATTAGTTAGAATCGCAGCAACAGAATTAGATTTCTCGATACGCAAAAAATTAGTAAATGAACAGTTGCGAGATATGGCCCTGTTAGCCGAAAAGGTGAGAAGAATTGAACAAATTCGAGCAGAGAAAGAAAGGTTGAGAAAAATGCTTATGGGAAGGTCACTTCAGCAACTCTTTTACATGGTTAAATTTGAGAAACATAGAAATAGAACCTTTACAACCACATTTATGATGTTAATATGGCAAACTAACTGCTGTGGATGTAAAAAAACTTGTATTCAATAACTTAAATTTGCTGGGGCAAAGGGCAATAACAAACTAGTGAGCTTGAAAACAAAGTACCCAGATAATGCAGCAACAAGAAGTGAGGAGAGCATCCCAACAGATCCATCACTGATGCCCATTTTCTTTTGGTTTAGTGCAGCTGCTTCGGCTTTGTTCCTGAATATTTGATAGAAATAATAGTAAACACCCTGTACCATAAAATTGTGAAATATTAAAACATTGAAACCTAACAGAACATTGAGCAAACAGGTTACCATATAGCATGCAAGAACCAAGGCTAGTTGGAAAACTTCCATCTATTTTCAAGGTTTACAAGCTACACTACTGACCATCAAGATCAAACAAGGGGCCCATTTGGTTTACAACTATAATCAATTTCCCAGGCAAGCGTTTCAGTGTAAAATTTGAGATTGAAATTAATTTGGACACACATCCCAATCACATTCAACTGTTTAAAATCAATTCTATCAAAATCAATTCTACCCACATCTAAAACAAACGGGCATGAAGTCTATTAAGAGTGTTGAAGGAAATCAGGTTTAGAATAGGCCATTAATCTTGTGAATATTGTATTTATATGATTTGATTTCTATTTCCTGATTTATAGATGATTCAGCTTTATTATAGGAAATATATTAGGACCTCTTGTATCAGATATTCCTTTTCTCCTGAAATTTTAAATTCAAATTTTGTTGCAGGGAATTCTTGTTTTTGCCTCTGTTATGGCTACACTGGGACTGCAAATAATCTTGGATTTTGTTCGCACATTAATATCATTTGTAACTTTATTTTTTGCATTTTTTCTAGACACTCTCCTTCCAAGCTTATCGATGTACAAAATTGAAATACTTTCGGAAATGCTTTAGCTTATCAGAAAGGAAATACACATCCTTAGCAACAATCTTAATAATTTTGTTATTCTAAATATTCAGACACGGAAATAAAATCAGGAGAAAAGGAATATTTTCCAGAAGATATCTACATTAATTATTCTCGTTATAATGTTTAGTGTATACCAAGAAAAAAGAGAAACAAGGGTTAGGATATGCAGGGAGGGGAATGAAAGCAGAAAGAAAGAGAGAACAAGAGATGGATAACTAGCAATTTACCTGCATTCTGGTAACAACTACCCATATGGGATTTGTCAAGAGCACGTTAACACACCTACAAAAAGATTAATCGAGCAACATGAGTACTGAACCAGTGAGACATGACATAATCAGTAGTTTCTACTTTCAAGCAACATGATCGGCAGTAAAGAGTTTATGCTTATGGGAAGGTCACTTCAGCAACTCTTTTACATGGTTAAATTTGAGAAACATAGAAATAGAACCTTTACAACCACATTTATGATGTTAATATGGCAAACTAACTGCTGTGGATGTAAAAAAACTTGTATTCAATAACTTAAATTTGCTGGGGCAAAGGGCAATAACAAACTAGTGAGCTTGAAAACAAAGTACCCAGATAATGCAGCAACAAGAAGTGAGGAGAGCATCCCAACAGATCCATCACTGATGCCCATTTTCTTTTGGTTTAGTGCAGCTGCTTCGGCTTTGTTCCTGAATATTTGATAGAAATAATAGTAAACACCCTGTACCATAAAATTGTGAAATATTAAAACATTGAAACCTAACAGAACATTGAGCAAACAGGTTACCATATAGCATGCAAGAACCAAGGCTAGTTGGAAAACAGAAATCTACCGTAAACACCCTAATGTTAAGTTAATGATAAATAATAAAAATAAAAATAGTATATTATAGTTTCGTTTTAAAAATTAACAAAAATAACTCCTCAAGGAACAAAAATAGTAAGGCCTAAAGTATTCAAAGCGTAAAGTTCTCTTTTTCTCCTCTTCCAAATTTAGATAGGCTCGTACTCACATGTTTACTCACTTGTCTTTTTTCTTAAATCCAAAACAAAATATTACTGACATTTTCATTTTGAGTTTTATTTTTATATACGAAAAAAATAGATTTTTTATATAGGTTACAGAATTCTGATCGAATCAAAGCGCGAAAACTATATTTTTTATTGCAGTGTGATATTTTTTTAACTTTTTAGTATTCTTAATATTAATATTATATATTACTAATAGAATCGAAAAATATATCTCTATTTATTTAAAAGTGTTTAAGAATTATTAATATTTGTTAAATTAATTAGTATCGTGCTTAATCTTTGAACTTCAAGATTTTAAGTTTAAATCTTGAATATAGTTAATTTTTAATATTATTTTTTATTATTTAAAAGTTATGTATACAAAAATATGAAATTCTCTTTATAATATGTATAGATTAAATTTAAATTATTATTGATACTAATACTTACTTTATTTCTTATCATAAGGTACAATTTATAAAGAAATAATGATTCTTTTTATAAGACATCTTACAATTTTAATAATGTCTTATTAAAAATTGCAAGCAAGTATGTTTCTTGTTGTTAAATAGTGAGAGGAAAATTTGACAAATAAATATTCTTTCTTCCCACTTGAATCCTAATTACTATTTATCAATTTTATTTGTATTGATATATAAGCTTTGATAAATAATAATACATTTACTTCTTTTGTAATAATTTAATGATAAATAATAAGAGTAAAATTGATATATTATAATTTTATTTTATATAATTAACAAAAATAACTCCTCAAGGAAAAAAATTAGTAAGGTCTAAAGTATTCGAAGTGTAAAATTCTCTTTTTCTCCTGTTCCAAATCTAGATTTTATAGGCTCGTACTCACATGTTGTGATCTTTTATTTTTTTAAGAGTAACTCTCATATTATGTCGAGGAGTGATAAATCCACTTTTATTTCTCCTAGATCTGTGAGATAAGTTAAATATGTCTCGCTAACATAGCACATAGAATCTTGTCCAGCTAAGGTATGATTCATACCGACATATTTAAATGAAAATTGATATACTAATACAAGTTATTCGGTTTTTTTTTTTTTTAAAAAAAAAAACAGATAATAAAGTGCTTTTAGAAGGACTATTTGTCCCTCTATTAAAAATATTCTATAAATGTTTGTGATTGAGTGAATATCTCAACGAAAAATTTGTTTGTATGAGATTGGATTGGTGATAACGTTCATTTACCTTTCCATTTTAAAAACATTTCTATTATGTTTGACTATTATTTTTTATTTAAATTTCTAGTTGCCCAATTTAATAAAGGATACTGGACACTTAGTTTTGAATTACTAATTTTAAAAACATTTCTATCATTCATATATATAATTCCACAATATTTCTTATGATTACTTTTTGCTATTCTTATTTGCTATATCTAATTTATATCCCATTTCCCTGTTTTTCTTATTTTTTTATTAATTGTTAAAATAATTGTAGAAATATAATATATCTCTTCTAAAAATTGATTCCTTTTTAACTTTCACCTATTCAAATTTAATTACTTATATAGGCCAGAGTCTAAGTCTTCATTTGGTACGTAAGAAATGGATAAAAATAAGTGATAACTAACAAACAAACAAAAAAATTGAGTATGTTTGATAGAGAAAAACATAATAGAAGAGAGAAATAAAAAGTGATTAGATCCATGAATTATAATTTCCATGCATTAGTGCAAAAACAGGCTTTTACTCACGTAAATTATGTGGGAAACACGAAAAGTTGACGTTATAAAAATGCGGTGGCAGTATCGTCAATATGGAGAGGCTAATTTACGTCAGACAGATGGGGATCCGACGTAAATTAGCTATTCTACGTCGGAGGAATAGCTTAGCCGACGTAGATTGGCTAATTTACGTTGGACCCCATCTGTCCGACGTAAATTAGCCTCTATTACTACCCCACCTTTCAATTTCCTCATTCCCGCGCGCTCCTTCTACTCTAAGTTACGAAAGCATATAATATCTCTAAGTTCTTCTACGTACTCTAAGTCTCGAAGCCCCTTGTTTGCACACATTACTAAGTCTAAGTCTTGTAAGAGTCTGCACTGAGGTAACTTTTGTCTACCCATTATTTCTGTTTTATGTTCATCTGGAACGGACCGTTCTGCTTCATTTGTTTGTTTGTAAAATGTTAATCTGGAACGAGCCATTCCGGAACCAGAACGGGCCGTTCTAGATAAACAATTAACACAGAAGTTTTTCTGTTGCTGCCAAGTTTAAGAGCTATTTGGGAGTCCTAGCTCGACGACATGTTTCTATTATCATTCCATCACGGGATGACGTTCAGGAGGCTGACAAGAACCTCATGTGGCAGGATATTCTGGTATATACTTTCACATCCCTTCAATATTATATAACTTAAATACATTATTTATTAATTGTTGTTATTTTCATAGCAAAATTTTGGCATTCCCAACACTGAGGTCATGAGGAGGAAGATGTTATCTGCCCTTGCCACCAGGTGGAGAGACTTCAAGACTTTCTTGACACGAGAGTATGTATTTGGAGAGCGACAAAATGAGACTCCCTGTCTAAAGTACCAGATCACTGATGAGGAGTGGATGCAATTTCGTGCCACTCGATTGGACCCTTCTTGGCAGGTTAGTTATTGATAACTCTTACATTGACACAAATACTTAAGGTATATTTTAATTAATCTTATTTTCTTTTTTGTATTATTGAAGGCCAAAAGAATAGCTGTCCAGGAACGACAGAGCAAGAATGATTCACCCCATCTATTGTCAAGAAGGGGATATGAATTAAAAAAAAAATGAAGAAGGCTAGGGCAGAGGCAGCAGGGGTTGAGTCTGCTGACCGTGTGGAGTCACCTCCCCGCCATGAGATGTGGATAGCAACCCGGATAAAATCAGATGGGCAAATGACCTCTGAGTCTGCAAGGGTCGTTGCTGATAAAATAGTAAGTAAATATTTTTTAATAAAAATAAATAAAAATTGAGTCATGCAGTTCAACTAGTGACCTTTTGGTTCAACTTTTGACCCACTGACCCAGTACTTTAACCGGTTCGATGACCGGTCCGGTTTTTAAAACTATGCCTATACCTTTTGCATTATTATATATATTATAGTTAAGATTTTTTTATATTCTCATTTTTTTAATTATTAAAAACCAATTTAGTTAATAGTTAATTAATTTAAATTTAAGAATAATTAAATAATAAAATTAACATTATATATTTTACTAAAAGAATTAATTTTTAATTTTTTTCTTATTTGTTAATTTTTATATCAATTTCTATATATTAAACATGAATATGTATCTTACGTGAAAATATCTTTTGGGATTTTTTTTAGCTGAAAAGGTTTTCCAAAAAAATTTAACTTTTTAAATAATTCAAGTTTTATTTATTATAGTTATTTATGAATTAAACTTTAATATTTTGAAATAAATTTTTAATAAATAACAATAATATTGTGCTACAATATATATTATTTATCATAAACTTAAAATATTATTTATATATTTAAATGTAATGACTCATCATATTACTACACTTATTACAACACAGTAACAATACAACATAAAACTAAAAGAATTTGTTATTATAGGGTTAACACGTGATAGTACCTGGACATCTTTGTAACATATATATGTATATGGTGTAGAAAACATAAAATAGTCCTCGACAACTTTTACTGAAACCACAAGCCCTATTGTTAGTCAAGCATCTTTACACGATTGTTATATCAAAATAACACAACAAAAACACAAAAGTCATCATCAGCACAACTATCCACCAAACATGTCAACCTAATCTTACTTCATTCTCATCCAAATATAATCATTGTAGTTCAACCACATGGAAAGCAAGGATAAGTTTGTGAAAGAAATTACCATAACAATAAATCAACACAATCGCAACTTAAAGCTCAATTCAACAACGCATCACATCATACAACATGAACTTTACAACTTAATAGTTTTATCAACATACAACTCAACATGTAAAAACCACAACTTATCATTAATTCGCAACATGGCAACGTAGCAATATAATTCTTCCAACTTAATACAACACATTAACACAATATAATGGCAATATAGCGACTTATAACATAACTACAACTTGGCATAATTCTTCAATTTTAAGCATAACATCAATTGGAGCACCAGTCTCATAATTAACTAAAAATAACTAAACAATTGAATCAACTTCAATCACAACTTTCAACAACTAGTAAACTTACAACATGTATAACAATCTCAGCACAACAACTTCAATCACGTCATAAACAACTTTAAAAAAACTAATACATCATCACACATATCAACTTATAGAAATCTCTTACAACTGAGGTGAGCAACTTAAGTGGTTAGTTACTATCAAACTACAACATTTGATCTATCTCAAATAGGTTAGGTATAGACAACAGTAGGTCTTAAAGAGTGTTAGGTATAGATAACATAATATTGAGTTATTAGGTTTTCTCACTTAAACTGAAAAGTATAGTACTATTATCAAGGTAGAGCAAGTTGGATATGAGTCTACCATGGGATTAGTCTACAACACTAAGTCACATATGAGATTACCCCAATGACTACCCTCCAAGTACTACACCCCTCCAATATTAGGTTTGAGACTAAGTCTTCGACCCAATAGTTTACTCGATTGGTCAATTTATACACGTATGGTTCGACTTGACCCCATACAAATACCACATAAAACATATAGGAGATAATTGAAAACAACTTACCCATTTAAATGTTAACTTACCTACTAAAGAGTTTCAACCAAACTTGGGAAGCACCGCAATGTATATCCACGCAATAGGATATTCAAATTTTGAAAACAACTTTATTTCCCTCTAATTTTTATGTATCGTAGTTACGACATGTATTTAACTCACATGGTTATAGCTTATCAACTTAACAACTTTAGCAGCATGCCACTTATTATACAACTTTATCAACTTACAACTTTAGTAACACATTTATCAGCACCATATTATCATTCAATTGTACAAATAACTTAAAGAAACATACATCTTATAATTTGATCAACTTCATCAATTATCATCAATAAACAACTTTAAATATCGTCATATATCATCATTTATATCAACAATTCATCATATTTCAATATTTAATAACTCAAGACATCATACTACTTAATCAACCTACCTCAATAAGAAACTTAAAACAATAGGAAACTTAAGCAATGTGTGCATCTTTATAATAGCATCAAACATTATCATATGCTACAAGAGAATTAACATATGTCATTTATTAGATGTAGTCATCCACTAATATAGAATGACAATTTTCACATAACACAACACAATTGGAGTTCCATTAATACAATCAAACTCAACTTTATCTCATATGAAAGCTAAAAAGGATATCTACAACTCTTATGAAGACTTCAAGTTCTAACTTCATCATTTACTATACTAAAAATCACAAAAACCGTAATAATTTAGTCTGAAGCTGACAGCTTGACATTTACTTACTAAAACTGCTCGGACCTAGCATTGGCCGACATAAATTTATGGTCTTGTCCGACGTAAATTCTGGCATGTTTTTTGCCCTTTTTAGGCCCCTTTTTACGTCGGGCTGGGTAAATCTCCGACGTAAATTTACATTGTCTTTGACAGGCGACGTAAATTTACGTCTCCCGTATTAACGTCGAACACTTTTTCGACTTAAAAGGCTGAAAATATGCAACGTAAAAGACCCTTTTTGTACTAGTGATGGAGAAATGCGAAGAAATGAGAATAATGCAACATTTAATCGTGCAATGCATTCAATGGATTAAATGCTTTTGCTTGTGTTGCCTATTTAATTAACATGGTTTATTCCATAAATTTTTATTTAATTGATTATATATAAAAAAGTGATTAAAAATTGATTTTATAATTTTTTTTTCTTAAATCAAACACATTTATTTCTCTCTTCATTTATTTTTAACCACTAAAATTAGTGATTAAGGTGAGGGCCAGTATTAATATGTATACGGTTTCATGTTCAAACCTTGTTATGATCACTGTAATTTCTACTAATAAAAAATATATACCTTTTATTTCTAACTTATTTGCATTCATTTTATTTTTTCACTTCTCTATTTATCTTGTGCCTCTCACATATTTCTTTTCATACTACTAAACACACCCTCAATGGCCAGACTTGCATTCTCTAATTCGCTCCAGTCAGACAATTCTTTCGATCGAGAAAGAAACTGCTTTTTATGTTTGTGTTTTTTTTTCATGTCGTCACTAATTTAAATAAACATGAACTAAAAGGTTGCCCGTACCACATATAATTTAAGATATATTATATCTTTAACTTGCAATGTATATCGACAAATCCTCTAGTTCAAAGGTGACGCAAATTGCAAGTTGTTAATTTCGTCGCCTTGCATGTCAATGACATTATTCGTATATATAATTAGTACTGCAATTAAAAAGTTGTTTGATTACCCACCCACTTCTTTATTCTAAAACGAAATATTGAAACGTGTTTTGTTTAACATGATATTGTATTCAGTACCCGTAAATTTCATGTGTGGTGTGGTTTATCAATCAAGGCTGTGGGGATAACGTTTTTAAAAGAATTCAATAATACAATATGGCATTTGAGCATATACTGTTTGAAAGATGCCAAAAGTAGAGAGTCAAACACAAAACAGTCTCAAGAAAAAAAAATAGAGGGAAAATAGATAAGCCAAAAAAAAAGAGGATGTTATGTTTTTATTTGATAATTAAGTTCACAATCACAGCGATACATCACACATGGCCGTCCATCTTCCAACTTAAAAGTAGAGGAAAACTGGCCCCCTCACCCAACACATGCACCATCTAATATTCTTAATAATACATAATATACATTACAAATAGAAGCTTTAATAAAACCATAATTAAACTTGGGGTTGGTTTGGGTTTTACCCAGCTTGATTGAATTTGAGGCCGAAAATCAACGACCACCAACCCTTGCATCTTTCACTTGGATTTGAAGGGAATGGCTCTGATTACAACTTGGTGGTAAAGAGCCGCAAGAGCTGCTCCAATGAAAGGTCCAACCCAGAAAATCCACTGCACAACAAAAAAGGTTTAGGTACACACCATAGTATGAGAAATATTGCCAAACTCTCTATAACACTTTATTGGTCGAAAATTATAAATTTCAGTAGATAATACTTCTAAATTAAGAAAAACTCATAAAATAATGCAAGACTCACAACTTGTAAATAAATTGCAGCGAATCAGAAGAGAGTGATACTGAGATTGTTAATGAAATTCTAATAATAATAATAATACAAAAATTAAAAGTAAGAGAATTTTAGTTAACATACGTGATCATCCCAGCCAAGGTCTTTGTTGAAGATGATGGCAGCACCGAGACTTCGAGCAGGGTTGATACCCGTTCCAGTGATTGGGATGGTGGCCAAGTGCACCAAGAACACAGCGAACCCAATTGGCAATGGTGCCAATAGCTGATCATTTCAATCATTCAATTCCACGATTAATACACATGTGTACTTAATTATGTAATTGATTCATTTGCATGCATAATATTTATTAAGGTAGAGGGCATGTGATGCAACATACAGGAACGTGTGAGTCTCTAGCGTTACGCTTGGCGTCGGTGGCTGAGAAGACGGTGTAGACAAGGATGAAGGTGCCAACAATCTCAGCGCCAAGTCCATCACCTTTGGTGTAACCAGGAGCAACAAAGTTAGCACCACCGTTGTGTTTGCCGTAGAAGGTTTTTCCCTCAAAACCCTTGACCACGCCAGCACCAACAATAGCACCCAGCACCTGCATCACTATGTAGAACACCGCCCTAGTCAACGACAACTTCCTCGCCAGAAACAGCCCAAATGTCACAGCCGGATTTATGTGTCCCCCTGCATCACACGTACACAATATTGTCACTGACTCATCTACTTTCACTTATATATACTATTTATATTTGTATTATTTCATATGAAATGGTTTATAAACAAAACTTAATTAGTGACATAAATATTGCTATTCAAACTTTGATAATATATTTATATATTTAATGTAAGGTTTAGTAATATATATATATATACCTGAGATGCCGGCGGTGCAGTAGACGAGGGCGAAGATCATGCCACCGAAGGCCCAGGCGATGCCTTGGATGCCGACGGTGGCGCACTTGGAGTCGGCTCTGTTGACGCCCATGACGGTTAAGATGGTTATGTAGAGGAAGAGGAAAGTGGCGACGAATTCGGCGATTCCGGCTCGGTAGAAGGACCAGGAAGTGAGTTCGGAGGGTTCGAAGAGTGGAGCCGGTGGTGGCTCGGTGTAGTCCTTTCCATCGTCTTGGCTCTGAGCCGCGGTTCCAATGGGTTGCCTCTCCGGGAATTTGTTGGCTCCTAAAGACACGTCTTCCTCCTTTCCCTCCATATTTTCTCTCACTCTATATATTATCCTTCCACACTAAGCTAGTGTTGTGTTTTGTTGTGGTGAATGGTAGTGATGAAAATTATGATGGGGTTAGAGGCTTATTTATATGTGGACATTGTTGCCATGGGTGGCAAAAGAAAATTAAAGGGATTAGTGGGGGTGGCTGGTGGGTCCTCATTATGTTGTAATCAATGCAGGTTTTTCTTATCTTTTTGGCCGTCCAATGATTTTTATTCATGAATTGCTTTGACGGGGATCTAGTTGGAACCATATGATTGGCACAACAGACGATGCTATTGTCCTTGCTGGCACCACTCTAACCACGAATTTCTCAGTGATGCACATACATGAACACGACGAAAACCATTCGGAAAGGAACGCACAACTGCCCAAGTCTTAATTCAAGTGTTAAATTCCAAAATGTTTGGTACCGGTTCATGTACTAAAATTACTGTATTAGTTTGTTTTAATACTGTACATTCGTGTTTACGACCGACCACGGTGTTCCAGACAGTCTCTTCATGCGCTACCACTCAAGCTAAGGGATTGTCAACTGTGTATCGTCCAAATATGCTTCAAGAGTGTCATGCATTTGGATAGTTCTGTACACATATTTTTATATTAATATAATATCTCTCGATTAATTTTACTTCTGATTCAATGAAAATACTTACAGTGTATATAAACTCATTAAAATTATAATTTAACTTCTTCCAATGATAAAAATCTCCACAATAAACATTGTTATAATGGTTTAATCTCCTCTTATAGACAAGGAATCTTATGTCTACATCTATTTATCTAAATTATAGGTTTTGATACTATTTATTATACACTAAAGGTTCTACAAATACATAATTTTATATTAGTATAATATTATTCATTTTAAACTTAATTTTTTATGATTTTAGTTTTGATTATCACATATCTCTTTTACTAATAAAGATAGTGTATTTTATATTTATTATCTTGTTTTAATAATATGAAATTTTGATTATATCTCAACGAAGAGAGTTTCTCCAACTGAACGGTATAAATACCGTATGTAAAAAAACTTTTAGAAAAACTACAAGGTGATTGAGTTCATTGAATGTTTTGTTTAGCTTTCTAAGAACTGTTTGACTTTAAAAATACAGCACGAAAATACAACTAATATATATGAAAGAATATTGTACATCATGGCATTGTTATTGATATCAACTTATCATGAACATTTGTCTTTTTCTTTGGTGCATTCCAATGTAAAATATACTATAATTTAAAACGTTTAATTATATCAATAATTCTCCCAAATTCCATATTAAAAAGTGTCCTACCACCAAACCCACAAATTAAAAATATTTAGCTGATGAGTTGTTTCCCTTTTCTTTTTTTCTTTTTTTTTTGGTTTTTTCAATTTTTGTAGAAAAATTTAGCTCATTATAGCTGTTGTATATATACCTTAATTTGATAATATATATATATATATATAAGAACTTAAAACTTAAAATATATTCACCACTACATAAATCTGATTCTTCCGTTGATTATTGTCAAATTTCTTCTTTTTCAAGTCGCAAAATCAATAAGAATGGTTGGCATATGGCTGTCCAGCAATTAACTTATCTCACCTCCCCAACTAAATGTTGATTCTCAATTAAAATAAATATTTGATCGATTTCTGCGCTTCTTAAATCACCTTTTTATATATTTTGTTTCAATCCGTTAGGATGAAACAATGATTAATTAAGCCTACATACTTTTAAGAGCTGCTAGTATATGCTAGGTACTAATGTTTTAAGCAGAAGCACAAGATAAAATGAATTACTAAATTGAAGAAAACAAATAAAATAAAAATGTAATTTTACTATAAAAGATAGAATGCAACAAACTATGATGGCTTCCATAAGTCCATAACATAACTATGAAAAGAATATATTATTAATTTTTAAGTTTCGATGGCTATAAAAATAAGAAAAATTATATTAAACCATCCATAGACATGCATACAAAAGTTGTTATACACATAAAACAAATTGAATATTCTTGGAACTTGATTATTATAATAAGGTTACCTAACATACGATAATTAAATTCCTTGACTAGTCTGGATGACTTGTCAGGGATAACATTAATAAAAAGAAATGATTCGTGATCAATTTGCTTATAACTTCCATTTATTTTTCTACCTTGGAGTTTTTTATCTTCATAATTGTGCTCTGGCAAGAGCCACGGGTTCGATGGACCACTCACGTCCTGGTCGAAATAGGGTGCCATGTCCCTTGCTCCTTTCAATCCCTGATTTTGTGGTGTTAATTAAATTTTAAAAAAAAAAGTGTTGAGGATATAACTTAAATTATTCACATTTGGTTTTCCTTTTGAGTGAGGGGACAACAATTCCAGTATTCCACTCAGATGGTTGGTTTCAAAATTTGTTTGCCCCATTTATATTCCTATATCCTTTTCTCATTCAATAAGGACTTCAGAGACAATTTTTTCCCCTTCTATACACCCCTTGTATATATACTAATACCACACATAGTTTTTCCCTGAAATCAGTTATGTTAGATTTTAGAGACAGTTTATTTGCATATGAAATAAAATAAGGAAAATAACAACTATCTAACAACATAATTATCTTTTATATTTGCTACTTTTTTAACCAAATTTAAAGTTTAGGCAATGCTATCTTCATTTCAAATTTAATATCATACACAAATTAATTAAGGTAAAATCATAAATATATATATATATATATATATATA